AAGTCGCCAGTTCTCATCTTCCAGCTCCCCAGATACTCCGCGTACTACAGTTGTACTACAAAGTCGCCAGTTCTCATCTTCCAGCTCCCCAGATAGTCCGCGTACGAAAGTTGTACTACAAAGTCGCCAGTTCTCAGCTTCCAGCTCCCCAGGTTGTTCCGCGTACTAAAGTTGTACTACAAAGTCGCCAGTTCTCAGCTTCCAGCTCCACTGATTGCTCCGCGTACTAAAGTTGTACTAGAAAGTCGCCAGTTCTCATCTTCCAGCTCCCCAGATACTCCGCGTACTAAAGTTGTACTACAAAGTCGCCGGTTCTCAGCTTCCAGCGCTCCAGATTGCTCCGCGTACTAAAGTTGTACTACAAAGTCGCCAGTTCTCAGCTTCCAGCTCCACAGTTTGCTCCGCGCACTAAAGTTGTACTACAAAGTCGCCAGTGCTCATCTTCCAGCTCCCCAGATACTCCGCGTACTACAGTTGTACTACAAAGTCGCCAGTTCTCAGCTTCCAGCTCTGCTGTGCCTGCCACGAAATCTGCACATGGAGGTTCCCAAAGTGCTGTGCCTGGCACGAAATCTGCACATGGAGGTTCACACAGTGCTGTGCCTGCCACGAAATCTGCACATGGAGGTTCACAAAGCGCTGCGCCTGCCACGAAATCTGCACATGGAGGTTCACAAAGCGCTGTGCCTGCCACGAAATCTGCACCTCGAGGTTCACACAGTGCTGTGCCTGGCACGAAATCTGCACATGGAGGTTCACACAGTGCTGTGCCTGCCACGAAATCTGCACATGGAGGTTCACACAGGCTGTGCCTGCCACGAAATCTGCACATGGAGGTTCCCAAAGTGCTGTGCCTGCCGAAAAAATCTGCGCACGGAAGTTCACAAAGTACTGCGCCTGCCACGAAATCTGCACATGGAGGTTCACTCAGTGCTGTGCCTGCCACGAAATCTGCACATGGAGGTTCACAAAGTACTGCGCCTGCCCCGAAATCTGCGCATCGAGGTTACAAAGTGCTGTGCCTGCCACGATTTCTGCACATGACGGTTCACAAAGTGCTGTGCCTGCCTCGAAATCGGCACATGGAGGTTCACAAACTGCTGCGCCTGCAACGAAATCTGCACATCGAGGTTCACAAAGCGCTGTGCCTCCCACGAAATCTGCACATGGAGGTTCACAAAGCCACGAAATCTGCACATGGAGGTTCACAAAGTGCTGTGCCTGCCACGAATTCTGCACATGGAGGTTCACAAAGTGCTGTGCCTGCCACATAATCTGCACATGGAGGTTTACAAAGAGCTGTGCCTGCCACGACATCTGCACGTCAAGAAACAAGTGCAAACTCTAAGCACAATGGAGGGACGATTCCGAGAATGATCCGACCATGATCCGAGAATGACCCGAGACCGTCTCGCAACCGTCGTTCCGCAAAGCTTGACTTGCTAGCTTCGGACCCACCCCTTCTATTGAAAAACACAGCAT